ATCACAGGCAGTGCCTTTTTCTTTAATAGACAAAGAGTAGAGGCATGGTAGCTCACGCCTGTAATCCTAGCACTTTGAGAGACTGAGGTGCGAGGATTGCTTGAGGCCAGGAGTTCAAGACAAAGAGTGGGAGAAAGCATTTTAGATGGAGCACCTTGTACAAAGGCTTGGGCTATAAAAGAGCATGCTTTGGTCAAAGAGCCTAAAGTGGCTTAATGTGTGCTGTGCAGGCAACTTTTTCTGTAAAGGGCTAGATAGTATATATTTTAGGCTTTGCTAGCCAGAGTCTGTTACAACTACTTAAACTCTGCCTTTGTAGCGTGAAAGCAGCCAGATACAATAAATACATCAGTGAATGAACCTGGTTGTGTTTCAATAAAACTTTATTTTCAAAAATAAGCAGCAAGCTGAATTTGGCATTTGGCCATAGTTTTCTGGCCCATGGTCTGATGTGTAAGGTATTTGGTAGGGAGGGAGAGTGGTTAGGAAGGCCCCTGGGAAGTTAGTCTACGGGATATGTTGTAAAAGGTCTTGGATGCCATGCCAAGAGACTAGGGCTTTGTCCTGTGGGTAATGGGGAGCCATGATATTTTAAGTCAGTGAGTTGATATAGTTAGATTTGTACTTTACAAAGGACATTCTCATGTTTAATATGGTAGATGGACTAGCAGCAGGAGAGACTAGTTGTACAAGGGTGAGCAGACCCAGCTGCCTATCCCTGCCCTTGAGCAACAGCTTCTGATCTCAGTGGAGACAGTTACTTCACCCCTGAAACATTCATGTGCCAGAACTCTGTATAAATGACATTTAGAGCTATTGTAGCTAAAATGTGCGTCCTTGGTGTGTGTTCAGGAGGTGAATAAAAGTTGAGAAGCTTCTCAGATCTGGAGCATGTGACTTGTGGGTTCTAAATATTGAGGTGGGTCAGGAAAAGTGGGAATGGAGGTGGCATGATTTGGTTTGGAAAACATGGAAGGTAAGTAATGGGAACAAGGTTGGAAAGGGGAGGGAGGAATAACTGGCTCTAAGGAAGAACCCAGGAGAGCTGCCTAGATCACTGCACCCAAAGACTTGCTGCTCCTCTTCTGGCTTTATGTTAGTGAATTCTGTTCCCTGATGGAGTGAGCTGCCTGGGCCTATTTTATGGGAATTCTACAGAGATGTCTCCCCTCTTCTCTGCTCCCACCCACACTGCTTCACTATTGCTTAACACTTGGGATGGGTTTGCATGCTTTGTGCCACCTCCTGGGAGATCACTTTTCTGAGCTCATAGAGCTAAATATACCTAGTGACAGCTGGTGCCTTGGCTCTTTGGAGAGTTATTGAGCTACAGTTCTAACCAAAGCTGCATTCCCCATGGTAAAGCAAGACTTTTAGGGAGGCTCCTTAGACCTTCCTGAGAGAGGAGCTGCTTGTTGTAGGTCTGAAATAGTAAATCCCTGTTGTGGGAGCCAAAAGCTGCCTGTTTTTGTTTTATTTTTGCTTTTGTTGCTTTTAAACTTTGTTAAATCAGACTTTAGCCAATAGCTGGATGTGGGACAGTGTTCAGAGCAAGATGTGGTAATGCCTACCTCAAGTATATTATACTGAATTCTAGCTCAGCGTACAATATTCTTGTACGCTGTGCTGTGGCTGGGTAACTGGGAACTTCTATCAGGAGGTCTATGGTTTGGCAGGGGAGGTAGACATATAACAAGACCGATGAAGGTATGCACGGGCACTGTGGGAGCATAGAAGAGGCCACCTTTAATCAAGTATCTTTTTCTCTTACTTTCCTGTCCTTATCTCTCTCTCCTTCCAATAATAATCACAACTAACATTTGAGTTATGCTTTAAAAACTTACACAGTGCTTTAGTGTACACCAGGAATCACAAACTATGCCTCTGAGGAGCCAGAGGGCATCATAACTGAGTAATGTGGGCTGTACAAATGCATATGTGTAAATGTGCAAGGGGTGGGAGCTGTGGCAAACTAGAGAGGATGTGCCTCTTCAGAAGGGGGCAGCTCCTGCTCAACTCTGGCAGGTTGTTGCTATGTAGATGTGTGAATCCAGGAACAGTGCCAAGAGGTAGAGGCTTGAGGCCTTTATTAGCTCTTTTAGCACCAACTCCCCCACCTCCAAGGTGTCCCAAATTATGACATATATATGCATATACATATGTATAGCATATATTATACATACATAAATATATTTCATATACACATAATGACATTTAGTCAACAATGAGCCTCATGTGTGACATGATCCCTTAAGATTATACCATATTTTTACTGTATCTTTTCTATGTTTAGGTATGTTTGGATACATAAATACTTAATGATGTGTTACAGTCGCCTAGGGTATTCAGTATGGTAACATGCTGTACAGGTTTATAGCCTAAAAGCAATAGGCTATATCATATAGCCTAGGTGTCTAGTAGGCTATACTATCTAGGTTTATGTAAGTACATTCTATGATGTTCACGCAATGACAAATTTCTCGAAAATATACCCCAGTCATTAAACAAAATGACATATAATGAAACCACTTTTACCATAGGCTCATTGGTATAAACAAGGTTTAAATTCCCTATGGCATATTTCTGGCAAAAAAAAAAGCACCAAACTTCAAAATAAAGACCCAAACACTTCAAATATTAAACATTGAAATAAATGTGAGCTGTATATATATATTCAAGAAAGATTAATAAAAACAAGTAAGAAAATTTTGTACCTGCTTATTCTAGTTCAGGATTGTAGGTGGCCAGAGCCTATCCCAGCAGCTCAGGGTGCAAGATGGGAACCAACCTTGGAAAGGATGCCATTCCATCGCAGGGTGCACTCACACACATACCATGCTCACTCAGACTGGGACCATTTAGACATGACAGTTCTCCTAACATGCACATCTTTGGGATATTGGAGGAAACTGGAGGCAGAGAAAACCCATGAAGACATGGGAAGAGAGTGCAAACTCCACACAGATATTGGTCCTGGTCAGGAATCAATGTTTAGTCTAGTACATATTAATGATGTTAAGGATCAAGCTGCATGAGTATCTATAAAGTTAATCACTAGTGGCTGGGCGCGGTGGCGCACGCCTGTAATCCTAGCATTCTGGGAGGCCGAGGCAGGCGGATTGTTTGAGCTCAGGAGTTCAAGACCAGCCTGAGCAAGAACGAGACCCTGTCTTTACTAAAAAAAAATAGAAGGAAATTATCTGCACAACTAAAAATATATAGAAAAAATTAGCTGGGCATGGTGGCGCATGCCTGTAGTCCCAGTTACTCGGGAGGCTGAGGCAGTGGGATCGCTTGAGCCCAGTAGTTTGAGGTTGCTGTGAGCTAGGCTAACGCCACGGCACTCACTGTAGCCAGGGCAACAGAGTGAGACCCTGTCAAAAAAAAAAAAAAAAAAAAAAAAGGTTAATCACTAGTTAAATTTTCAAAAGCTTTGATTTTCTTTGTTTTTCTTCTTTCTTTTATAAGTGTATTACGGAAAAAAATTCCAGGTAATTAAGAGACACTATATGCAGTGCAGGGGAAAAATTTGGACTTTAAAATCTGGCATCTTGGGTTGGAATACTAACTCTATCACTTACTAGCTGTAACCTTGAACAAGTGTTTCAGTTATCTGTATAAAAAACCTCCCGAAACTTAGTGACTTAACACAGCAATATTTATTTTGTTCCTGTATCCGCAATGTTGGCCTGGCTCAGTAGGCATAGCTCATCTGTGTCCACTTGGTGGCAGGTGAACTGATTAGAAAGCTGGGGGCTGAAGTCACCTGGAGTCTCAGTCACTTACATGTCTGACTCCTGGGCTGGAAGACTCAAACAGCTGGGGCTGCTCAGACATCTGTCTCTGTGTCTATATAGTCTTTTCACATGATGTCTCCACCATGGTGGCATCAGGGCAGCCAGGCTTCTTACATGTTGGCTTAGAGCCCCTCAGGCATGTGTCCCGAAAGAGGGACGGCTAGGTGGGATTCATATTGCCTTTTTTAATTTAGCCTTGGGAGTCATGCAACATCACTGCTGTCACATTCTGTTTGTTAGAAGATGAGTCGTTTATGTCAGCCTATATTCAGGGGTAGAGAAATCCCTCTTTAATGGGAAGATTGTCAGAGAATTTGTGGACATGTTTTAAAACCATCATAGCAAGTTAACCTTTCTAAACCTAACATGATTTGGGGCATATTGCATTCTTGAAGAGTATTATTACTGTTCTCATTTGTAAAATAGGTGTGATAATTCATTGGTTATGAAGAATAGATGAGAAAATATTGTGGAAGTTCTTAGGATATTGCTTAGTATATAAATAAATACTGAAAAATTGTTAATTCTTCCTCCCTTTTTTTCTTTCCTCTTCTAGCTTATGGAATTCCAGTTAACTATCATTTATTATCTTACCGTAATTAACAAATATGAGGAAGGAATTTCTAATTTACTTTTTTTAAGTAACATATATAAATGAAAAGGAAAATGTAGTCCAGTGGCAACTAAGATTTTTTTTTTTTTTTTTTTTTTAGACAGAGTCTCACTGTGTTGCCTGGGCTAGAGTGCCGTGGTGTCGTCCTAGCTCACAGCAACCTCAAACTCCTAGACTTAAGCGATCCTCCTGCCTCAGCCTCCCAAGTAGCTGGGACTACAGGCATGCGCCACCATGCCCAGCTAATTTTTTCTATATTTTTTTAGTTTTTCCAATTAATTTCTTTCTATTTTTAGTAGAGATGGGGTCTCGCTCTTGCTCAGGCTGGTTTTGAACTCCTGAGCTCAAACAATCCGCCCGCCTCTGCCTCCCAGAGAGCTAGGATTATAGGCGTGAGCCACCGCGCCCGGCTGCAACTAAGATTTTAAGACATATGCACATAGAAGGATACATGAGTGATGTGATACACGTGTGCCTTGGGTAGATGGAATGTGCTGTGGATAGCTAGAGGCAGGTGACCTGTGTGGAGATCTTGGTGGGCGGGCTCCCAGGGAGGTGTCTCATGTGACTTGTGTGCTTTTCCCTTGCAGTTCCTGAGGGAAGACCTCAATTACCATGACCCAACAGCGAAACACAGCACCTTCCATGGTGAGGATAAGCTCATCAGCGTGGAGGACCTGTGGAAGGCGTGGAAGTCCTCAGAAGGTAATAGGCAGCCTGGTTGTCAATCCTAGTTGCTAGAAGGTTTGGAAAAGAGAGAAGATGGGCAGCAACTTGGCCTTAAAAGGCCATGAATATAAAATGCTTAGTAAAGGGCAAATTATTGAAATGATTCTACATACAGTCACTAAATAAGACTGAATATAGTCACTGTGCGGGGCATGAGGGAGGGCTCTCCAGAGTTGGAGTTACTCTTCATTAGAGTGCTTTTTGAATTCTGTCCTATCCCCATCCCTCTCCTCACCCCATCACCCCTCACCTCCCGTACCCCCGTAGGAATCTCCCAGCTTCTGCTGCTTCATCTCCAGAGATAGGGAACTTGCTGATCTCTCAGCTGCTGCTTTCTTCTCTAGCTTTCCATTTAGTCACAGCTCTGCTGAGTCCTAGATGATTCAAAGATTGGGTGGGAATGTAGATAGATTCTCTCCTGAGTCTTCTCTTCCAGGTTAAATAGCCCTAGTTGTTCAAAGCAGATCTATTTTTCAGCCTCCTTCTCATCTTGATTTCCTGCCTATAAACGCTTTTGTTAATATTAATATCTTTCTTAGATCCTAGAGTTGGCCACAGACTTCCAAGTGTGGTTTTATCATCACGGAGTTGAGCAGGGTTGTCAACTTTTTGGTTCTGAATGCTGTGCACCTGCCAATGCAGTCTGATTAGATACTGGTGCCTCAGCAGTCACATTATTCCACTGATCCATGTTGACCTGAATGAAAACTTTAGATCTGTGTAAAACTGCTAAACCATGATTACCATTTTTTTCTGGAGCATTTGCTTCAGAGTTCCAAATGAAAGAGCATGTCTAATTGTGTGAGACTTAATAGGGAAGGGAAAAACAGGGCTTTAGCTTCTCCATTTATATCTGTGGCTAGAGCTTCCTTTGACACCAAAAAGATTGGAAGCAATCTCTTCCCAGGGTCTCTCAGGATAGGTTCTGATGCTAAGAGGGGTTAAACATAAGTGACCACCAGGGCTCTTGGTTTTCAGATGAAGAAACTTAGGCCTAGATTTATTAAGTTACTTGTTCATTGTCAAGCATTTAGCAGAAACAGGACTTAGGCCTGGGCCTTCTGCTCCCTAGGTCAGTGCTCTTCTATATCATCTTGGTTGGAAGCACTGGTCTGGTGGTAGAGAAGACTAATTTTTATAGGAATGAGGCAGTTTCTAGTTTTACTTAAATTTTTACCTAGAATCATAGAATTTTAGATCTGAAAGGGATTGTTCATAATGTAGATGGAGAGCATTAGGTTTGAAGCAGGAAAACCTGGATTCTAATCCTAGTTCTGGGATGGACAGGCTGATGCTTCTTGTTAACTCTATGTTTTATCAATGTAGAAGAAGCATTAGGCAGCTATAGGAGGAGAGCTTCCTAGAAATCTTTAGAAGCTCAGTTCCTTGTAAGGGCTTTACTAACTCCTGAGCAACTTGGACTGTCTACTGATGAAGATCAAACAGTAACATGAGCTTTGGAATTATATCAGCACTGCCAGGAAAAATCTTTCATTAGTACCATTTAGTTTTGGTTTTTTTCTTTTTCTCTAATAACATGAGGGCAAGATGCCTGATTTTTAAGAGTGGGTTTTAAAAGTAGGACCTTAGATTGAAAGATGGTGGGAAGAGCATTGTGGCCTTTTTTGAAAGTGGACATAGAAGTATCTGGGATGGGAAAGTGAGAGGGCAGAAACAGAAGGACTAAATCATAATGCTAGAAAACAGCTCCAGGCAACTTTCTGGTAAGAACTTTATTTCTGGTTTCAGCAACTATTTGGAATACTTCCAGTGTATTCTAAATTACAGGAAAACGGAAGACAATGGAGTGAGGGTTTTTTTTGAGGGGGAAAAGGAGTCCCCATTATCCATGAGCAAAGAAAACATTTCAGGGCACAGTGATGCAGTTCACAGCTAGGATATGATAAATGATACATATGTGACCATTTTAGGATTTGCTTACCTGGTGGTTTGACAGATTCAAGGAATCCTATTCCCTCCCAGTATTTTGCTTCATTTTTCAGAGAAAGGCCCCTAATCTCTCTGGAGTGATGATTTCCAGAGCTAAAAGAGCATGTACTATTCTGGCACTAGCTCAAACTGGCTAGTCTGAGTTTAGCTAGATGATGTAGATATCAGCAGTGGTCATTTGTATTCAGAATGTGAGCTGACTAATGTCAGTATCATCTGTGTGATTAGTGTTGTTAACATTTTCTGACTAATGTGGGGAGCCAGTGTTTTCTCTGTGTTATTTAGATCTTATAGGAAAGACTTCTAATCTCTATATTAGCCAGCTCTGGACTTTAGTAATAAAAACAGCATCAACAACAACTTAAAAACTACTTTCACTAACGTTTATATGGTGTTTAATATGTGCTAGGCACTGTCTTAAGACTTTTACATATATTAATTCATTTATTTCTCACGAAAACCTTATGAAGTATAAAGACCCTGGTTATCTCCATTTACAGATGAGGAAAATGAGGCAAAGAGAGGGAGTAAGTGAAAGGATGTCATGTAAGTCTGTCACTCAGTACCCAGAGTTAGCGCAGACTTTACAAGTTAGGGGCATAGTCCGCAGTAAGACAGCCCTTACCCCCGGGTTTGGTGGCTGCCGCCTGTAATCGTAGCACTCTGGGAGGCTGAGGCAGGAAGATTGCTTGAGCTCAGGAGTTTGAGACCAGCCTGAGAAAGAGTGAGGAGACCCCGTCTCTACTAAAAATAGAAAACTTAGCTGGGCACTGTGGTGTGGGCCTGTAGTCCAGCTACTTGGGAAGCTGAGGCAGGAAGATTGCTTGGGCCCAGGAGTTGGAGGTTGCAGTGAGCTATGATGACATCACTGCACTCTACCTAGGGCAACAGAGTGACACTCTGTCTCAAAAAAAGTCAGTCAGGTCATGTTGGTTGATGGAGTTCAAATCTACTGTATGTTTGTTGATCTTTCTACCTACTTGTTCTATCAGTTATTAGAGAGGAGTATTTATATTTTCAATTATAACTGTGTATTTGTTCATTTCTCCTTGCAGTTTTTGCTTCATATATTTTGAAGCTCTGTTACTAGATGTGTAAAGATTTAGGATTATTATGTGTTCTTAATTAACTAATTCTTTCATTAGTATTAAATGACCTTTATCCTTGGTAATATTCTTTGCTCTGAAATCTACTTTGATAAAAATAATGCTTTCTTTTGACTATTGATAGTTTGGTTTATCTTTTTCCATCTCTTTACTTTTAATCTATTTGTGTTTTTATA